GTTGCGATTGTTTTCCTGTGTGCATTATTTTGCAGTTACCAACATTGAATTTCATCTGTTATTTTCTTGCCTGGTCGCCCAGTTTTGAGAAATCCCTTTGTAACTCTTTGTAGTCTGCTTTGGACTTAACTATTTTGAGTAATTTTGTATCATCTGCAAACTTTGCCACCTGTTTACCCTTTTTTCCAAAACCTTTATGAATATGTTAAACAGCACTGATTCCAGTATAGATCATCGGGGGACCTCATTATTTACCTCTCTCCATTGTGTAAACTACCATTTATTCCTACTCTTTGTTTTCTGTCTTTTAACCACATATTGATCCATGAGAGGATTTTCCCTCTCATCTCATGACTGCCTACTTTGCTTAAGAGCCTTTGGTGAGGGATCTTGTCAAAGACTTTCTGAAAGTTCTAGTACACTATATAGACTGGATCGCCCGTGTCCACCTGTTTGTTGAACCCCTCAAAGAATTCTAATAGATTGGTGAGGGATGATTTACCTTTACAGAGCGGTGTTGACTCTTTCCCATCAAATTGTGTTAATCTAATTCTGTTCTTTATTATAGTTTCAACCGATTTGCCTGGTATTGAAGTTAGGCTTACTGGTCTGTAATTGCCTGAATTGCCTCTGGAGCCTTTTTAAAAAAGCTACATTACATTAGCTATCGTCCAGTCATCTGGTACAAGAGACCTATTTAAGCAATAGGTCACATATCACAATTAGTTGTTCTGCAAACCTCCCCCATTGACACCTGAATCTGGGACAGTTCCTCAGATTTGTCACCTAAAAAGAATGGCTCAGGTGTGGGATCTTCCTCAGATCCTCTGCAGTGAAGACTGATGCAAAGAATTCATTTAGTTTTTGCACAATGGCCTTGTTTTCCTTGAGTGCACTTTAGCACCCCGATTGTCCAGTGGCCACACTGATTGTTTGCAGGCTTCCTGCTTCTGATGTACTTAAAATAAATTTCCTGTTAGTTTTTTTGTCTCTTGCTGGTTGCTCTTCATTCTTTTTTGTCCTGCCTAATTATGATTTTATGCTTGACTTGCCAGAGTTTATGCTCCTTTCTATTTTCCTTTGTAGGATTTCACTTCCAATTTTTAAAGGATGCCTTTTTGCCTCCAACTTCCTCTTTTACTGTGTTTAGCCATGGTTTCATTTTTTTGGTCCTCTTACTATTTTTTTTATTTGGGTTATGGCACTCCTGGAACCCCATATTTACCACTGGCATATAATTATGATATGTTTCATACAAAGCATGCTGTGTAAGGTATCATATGAAAAGTCATGACTTGCTGAAACTCATTGTTCTGTCCAAATGTGTATATCATTAGTGTGTAGCAAGTTAATTTTGCTGTGTGGTTGTTACTGAAATATGTTGTAAGTTTGCTAGTGGCATACAAAGAAAGAAAACCACTCAGAGTGTACTCAGGATAGAGTGTACTCAATGACCATTAACAAGCAGGGGAGTTGTAATCAGGGGATTTACAATTCAAGGACAGTTGCGGAAGCACCCACACTCGGGGGATTGCTCAACCGGGCAACTCAGGGAAGCCCTCCAGGACCTGCTAAGATAAGTATCTTCTAGGCACAGGGACTATGGATATAGAAGAGGGAACAGTGGCCGCATGGCTTGGCCTCACTCCCTCCACAACTCAACACCTGGAAACATGTCTGGAAGGGGGAAGGTGGTCCAGGGTTGGAGGAGAATTCCAGCCTGTGAACTGAAGATCTGTGACCTTCTTGTACTATCAGGGTGAGGCACTGCTTGATTCAAATCCTGTTTAGTTTATAGAGCTTAGATTGTGCGCGTACTTTTATTTTCTTTGGTAACCATCTCTATCCTTTATGCCTAAATCTATCTTTCTGTAGCTAATAAACCTGTTTTATGGTTTACCTAAAACAGTGTGTTTTGGTTGAAGTGCTTGAGAAATCTGCTCAGGAACAAGAGCTGGTGCATTTCCTCTCCACGTTGAGGGAGGGGTGACTGGGTTATAAACGTATGCTGGTCAGGCTTCTGACCAGGGAAGGACGGTACAGTCCCGGGAACCAAAGATGGGGAGCTGGGGGAATTTCTGGAGCCTTTCTATTGTTAGTTCATGAGTGGCTGGGAGAAGCATTCATGTAACTCAGCTGGGTGTGCCCCTGCCTGTGGATGTCTGTCTGAACGCAGGACCTATCAGAGGTTTGTAGCTTGTCACGGCATCGCTTGATGAGAGGGAGCACAGGTTGGAGGGACAGAGGGCTTAGCAGTACCCCAGTTCCAGGCTGCACCCCAGGAAGGCCCCTCACAGTTAGTTTGAGCCTTGTGTTTTTAAATCATCTCCATGTAATTTGCAGGCATTTCACTCTTGTGACTGTTCCTTTTAATTTCCATTTAACAAGTCTCTTCATTTGTGTAGTTCCCCTTTATGAAGATAAAAGCTGCTGTGGTGAGTTTCTTTGGTATTTTCTCCCCTCCAAGGATGTTAAATGTAGTTCTGTTATGCTCTATATTACTGATCAGTTCAACTATATTCATCTCTTGGACCAGATTCTGTGCACCATGTAGGACTAAATCCCACTGCTTAGTGAAGAGGGAGAAACAGTAACAGGAAACTTGGAAATGGCAGAGATGCTTAATA